CAAGCTGAGCTGAGAAACCATCTTTCAGAGGTGTAAATTCTTGCTTTGGTTGAAAGGCTGGATGTATTAACTTTCATAATTTCTTTTGACACTTAATTTTCCTTAATTATGGTAAAGATGTATTATTTATTTTTTCTTTTTAGTTGGGAAAGTTGGTTCATGTAACTTTTGCATTTTGTAGAATTTCTAAGAGGTAAGATGAAAATTAAACATTTCTTCCTGTTAAGATCCATGTTTCTCTCTCAGATCCCCTAAGTATATGTAATTTGTTTGATGATTTTTGCAAAGACAAGCTGGAAATTAAGGAAATAATTCTAGATGTTTTCTTTATATTAAAAAAGTCTCCAATAAAAAATTTCTCTGTCCATATCACAGGTTAATTTACAATTTGGGCTGCTGGTGGCTGGCTTGTGGCCTCAATGTTAAAAATTAGAATGAGGCTAATTCTAGTGAATAGTGGTTCACACAGACAATTGCTATCTTTGTTGGGTCCTCTGGTACCAAGCCTAAGAAGAGGAAAAAAACTAAAAACACCCTGGCAATGTAACAGAATCATCTTTTACTGCCATCTTTCACTTCAGTATAAGCTGAGCATGTGTTTGATGCATAGGGGCGTGGGAACTATATCCTCTCTTCTTACTTTCCTTCAGTAAAGGAGCTTAACTCCATTAAGTATTGTTCAAGATAGCATATTTAAAATTAACATAAAAGGTAAAAGATTTTAATGCCTTTTAATATAAGGAAACATTGATTTTATTAAAATGCTTTAAGATACAATACAATTACTAATTTATTACTCTAACTCTGTATTGTGAGTATAGCTTCTTTTCCAAGTATATTGATTTTTAAAATGTGTTTTGGAAGTAGGAAAAGAACCAAAGCAGTTTATGAAAATTCTCATTCACCATCCTTCTTAAACAGAACCACGTCCATCATGCCGATGGAGACTATTTCAAGAGTAGAAATTCTTTTTATTCAAAGCAGTAGGATTATCCAATGTTTCTTAAACAATGAAAGGCAGGTTATATTTTTCCAACCTGTGTTTTCCTGAGCTGAAGCATGAAATATCAAATATTTATAATAAAGTATACATAGTTAAGTACACTGAATCATTAAAATGTTGGAAATACTGAAATGGATGATCGACCTTATTGGAGTCCTTGTGTGATACAGAAACTTCTGTATTTACTGTTAACAAGAAAAACTGAAAAGGTTACAATCCTTTTTAGAGTCAGAGCTCAAATAGAATTGATTTAAAATTTAAAGCACTTCTAATAAGAAATTTTAACATTGTATAAGTTAAACATGGGGAAAAATTATATTTGTTTTATGTTATTCTATTAAGAAATTTCTTAGACTCTGAGGTATTTAGTAGGACTCAGAATAAATGTCTCTAAAGATTTAGTTTTAATTTTTGGCTGCTTAGCTCTTATAATGACATTTATTCTGAATACTATATTAACTGTGCAGTCATAATTATATGTATTTTTCCTAGCTTGTGATATGAGGTTTCTTGCATTTTGGCATATTACTCTTATTTTAGAGACAGGGTCTTCCTCTGTTGCCCAGGCTGGAATGCAGTGTTGTGATCATAGCTCACTGCAGTCCTGTACTCTTAGGCTCAAGTGATCCTCCTGCCTCAGCCTCTGAAGTAGCTAGGATTACAGGCACGTGGCACCATATCTGCCTAATTTATTTTTTAATTTTTTGTAGAGACAAGGACTTGCTGTGTTGCCAGTTTGGTCTCGAACTCTTGGTTTCAAGTGATTCTCCTGCCTTGGGCTACCAAAGCGTTGGGATTGCAGATGTCAGCCACTGTGCCTGGCCTTGTTCTTATAAATTCAAGATTATCCAACTTCAAGCAAGGTACTGTATTTCAGAGCACCACTTAAATATAAAGCTGTTACATGTCAGGATAAGAACTGGGCTGATGTCAGTTATGCATCCTGTGCCCTTGCTATTTAATGCCATGGAATAAGAAGGCAGGGTGAAAGTCTTTTTGCCACTATTGCCTGGCTTTTATGCAGCTACTCTTACATCTAATAATAGTGGAATGGAAGAGCAAGATGAATTGTAAAATGAATTCCATAGAAGATCCACTGTGGTTAGTAGACCAAGCCACGACAGTGTTGATATTAAGAATGGACACTGGAGTCCAGTATATGTTGATTCAAATCTAAATGCTCAGTAGATGTATGACTTGGGCAGTTATTTAACATACTTGGGTTTGAGTTTTCTTGTCTTCATCCATAAAAGGAGGGCTCTTAGAGGTTTAAGGGAATATATGTACACATATGTATAAATATTAAGAGATATATATATAATGTATAAACAATTAAGATATATATGTATTCCCTTTAGATATAGATATGAATATATGTATTCCCCTAAGACATATATGAATATATATATTCCCCTAAGATATATACATATATATATATGTATGTATATGTATATATTCACATGTATCTTAACTACACACACACACACACACACACACACACACACACACTTTAGAGCAGTTCCTGGTAGGTGGTGAGTGCTACTTAGATATTAACTCATCATATTGCCATCTCATTTCTGTATTTGCATTACTAATTAGTAACACAATTGAATGATCTGATGGTTTCTTCTTTTCCCTGCTTTTTCCTTAAAAGATCAAAGGTTGCAGCAAAATGTCATATTTAAGAAGCTGAGTAAACACAGAATGAGAGGTCCTAAAGTGAGGTGCTGAATTAATAGGCAGGCTAATCACTTCCTGAATATATACAAACTAGCACTTGGTAGAAATAGCAGAGAGACTGTTTAATGGGTTTTTGTTTCAGAGTGATGGATTGATTTTCCAGGGACGGGCCCGATGAGAGCCCTCATAACAATTGGCTCTCATACCCTATTGCAAATAAGTTTAATCTCATATAAATCAAAGCACTAGAACGTAAGCATCCCAAGGACAGAGATTCTGTCTGTGTTGGTTCACTGCTGTAACCACAGAGTTCAGGCAAGTGTCTGGCAAATAGTGGAGGCTCAGTAACTATCTTTCGAGTGAACTGAATGAATGATAAACCTTGACTTTTCCTTTAAATAGGATTAACATTAAAAGCAAAACCAAACAGCATGCTTTCCTACTTCCTGATGGATTTCTGACGCTGAGAATGCTGTTAGGCAAGTAAGCTGGGCTGAAGAGCAGCATGTGAAGGGCACAGTGCAAATGTGTACATTTTGCAAGTATTTCAGAAATCTCGGATTTGGTGAAGTATTCGCTGGAGTCTGTGGTGTGATGTCACACTTAACTCAGATTCATGTGTCACATTTGAATTACAAATATTCTGTCCAGCAGCTGCCTGACTATGCTTATACTTTTTTCTACACAGGGTTTTCAGAAATCTTTGATCCCTGTGACCAAGTGTCATAGAAAACTTTTCTTAAGTGAAACTTTCTGCAAACAGTTAGCTTATATTTAAGTTTCTATTCATCTTTAAGTAAAGTATTTTGGCTAAAAGAATGTTTCACACAATACATTTCACAGGTGAGGTTGATTATATAGCATTACTCTTAATTTAGCTTACAACCTCAATAGTGACTTAAAATATATAACACTTTTATAACTATGTCTAACTTAATCAAATTGAAATACATATTCTTTTCTACTCCTGTAGCAAACGTTTTTTGAAAACAGAAAAAGTCCCTTTTTACAGTATAGGCAAGCTGATAATCTGAATAGAAAACCACTCATTTCTATACATGAAATTTTCCTAATTGTCCTTGTAATAAAAACTGAGAGGATATTCGTCAACCCTGGCTGAGCTGCACTGAATTCTACTCTTTTATAAATGTAATAAAACAGCAAACAACATCAAAATACATTATTAATTAGACATGATTTCTTAAAATGGTTTATGTCATCTCATTAAACTTCAGAGCTTGCAGACATTAATAGTAAGTCACCACAAAGCTACCATTGATTTATAATGCACATTACCACATCAGGCCTGGCCCAAGGACTCTGGGCCCAGAAGGAAAAAGAGCCATGGCATAAATATGCTGAAAACATATCTGTATTCACAGAAAACAATTAGGCTTAATATAATTAGAGTGAACATTCAGGTTCATTTTATTCAAAGGTAATGTTTCTGCCCTTGAAGTTCCATGTAGAAAAGGGTCCTTGGAGTTAGAACACTGTGGAAGGTGATATAATTTCACTTGGCCCTTGGCTATGTAAGGTAAACATTTTGCATTATTGCACAGTAACAAAAATTTACAGCCATAGATAACACAGGATCTGATCAACGTTAACACACCTGGTGTTTAAGGCTTACCCACATTGGAAAGCAATCATTTCCAGGATGGAGATCAAATATCTTAACACAGTGTCAGCTGTCTGAGTTGCTAGAAAAGATCTCTCATTTAAAAATCTGTTCATAGGACGTGCTTTCACATTTTTCAGCCTCTTTCACTTGTGTGCTAGACGGAGGCACTTTAAGAGCTATTAACTGTAGTTTCAAGAGTACAAGACATTAAGTTTCTTCAGTCATTGGTAAATACGGCAAGGAATTAAAATGAAATTAGATTAAAAAGAAAGTAAACAAATCATCGAATCAGAAAATTTAGCCAAATCTTGTAAAAATCACTGGTCTTTGATTTAAAGATCTCCCCCTCCAGCCTCCCAAATTAGTAGCTATCACTCATCTATGGCCAGATAGGTAAAAACTACTAAACCATTCTGATGTTAAGGTATAACGGTTTTGCTATTTGGGCTTGTAAACGTTTTAAAACATTTAAGTACTTTAAATTATGTTTTGAGTAATGTTTCAAAGTATATATGGGTTTCAAATAGAAAAACTAAAAGGTGGAATAAAACATTTTGGAAGAGTTTAGTAAAGCGTATAAAAATTAAAGGACTAAAAATCCCACTTCATTTTAAATGTGTAAAAATAAATCGCATTCATTCCTGGGAATCCAGTGATTTTCTCTTTTCTTTCTTTCTTCTTTCTTTTCTTTCTTTTTTTTTTTTTTTTTTTTTTTTTTTTTTTTGGTTTTAGTTAGTTGGTACGTACTGCACCCTCCACAACACGTTAGACAGTAGGTCCTGGTACACACTAAGGAATATCCAGCCAGGTAAATACATCAGGGTGATGAGGCCCATGAAATTGAGCGGGTAGTGAGAATAGTCCCAGGAACAAGCCCCGCACGTGCGAAGCCCCAGACCCCAGGACAGCTCCCACACATAGATAAAGATCACGTAGATGGGCACCCGCTTCCAAGTGCCCCAACCGCGGCTGTAGTGGAGATGGAAGTAGAGCTTTTCCACCACGAAACTGCAGCTGCCGTACATAAGGAAGGACCAGAGCGACGTGTGGCCGCTGGTGGTCCCGTCCCCCTGCCCAAGTACGTTGAAGAAGAAGGTGAAGAAGATCTCATCCAGAAAGCCATGCATTCCGAAGAAAAGAAAGCGGAGTAGGTCGGGCAGCCCCTGGCTGGGGGCTCCCGCAGCGCCCCTGGGGCCACGGGGTCGTCGCCGCCGGGCTCCGGACGCGGTAGGGACCCGGGCGCCAGGAGGGGCGGGGAGCGCGCCCCTCCGCTGCTGCTGCTGCTGCTGCCGCCTCTGCAGCCCGTACCGCAGGCGCAGGAAGCGCTTCAGGAACACTTGGCAGTGGTAGAGCGCCAGCACGTACTGCAGCGCCAGGTCCAGCGCCCCTGGAGCCGCCGCGCCCCCCGGCCCGCCGCCCAGGCTGAGCAGGAGCGCTTGGCCAGCTAGGGTCTGCAGCCCCACGTGGGCCGAGGGGTAGAGGAGGAAATTGAAGACGAAGGCGCTGGGACAGCGCCGCTGCTGCAGGTAGACCTTCTCCAGGGCGAAATGGGTGAGCGAGTGCAGCACGCAGCGGTAGGGCGAGGAGAAGCCTAGCATGCGCAGGTCCGGGCTGCGAGCGAAGCGCCGGGCCGAGGACACCAGCACGTCCAGGGTGATCCCGTGCATTCCGTAGAAGTAGAGGCGCATCCAGGCGGGCAGCGTGGCACTCTCGGCCGGCGCTTCAGCAGTGGACAGCGGCTCGGGGCAGTCGGCGGCCGCCTCGCTTCCTGGCCCGCCAGGGGCACCCGGACGCCGCGCCGCGCAGCCCCTCGGTGCGGGGCCCTCGCTGTCCACGTCGCTCCCCGCCATGGGCTCGGAGGCTGCCCGAACGCCCCAGGCTGCACCGCCGTCGCCGCCGGGTGAGCGGAGCTGCTGGGCCGAGCGGCTGAGCTCCGCGCCGCCTCCGGCCGCTCCCGGCCCCCGGGGGGGCGCGCAGGGAGCTCCGTCCCGGCCGCGGTCCCACAGTAGCCGGGGCTGGTGCGCTCAAGGGACGCGCGGGCCGCCCGGCTCGCGGAATACCCCCGCTGTGGCCCCGCAGCGCCCTCCCTTCCAGTCCCGGGCGAGGTGCCCCCCGCCGGCGCCCGCTCTCGCGTTCACCCTGCGCGGCCTAACGGGCACCGCGGCCCAGCAAGTGGAGGTGGCGCCGGGGCTGCGAGGGGAAATGCAGAAGCTGGTGCAAGCCCCATCCCCTCCGCGGCTCAGCCTCGCGCCTCCGCTGCAGGCTCTGGGAACGTAACGCGAGCAGCGGCGGCCCTGCCCCCGCCCTGCCAATGCCCCTCTCCGCCTGCCTCGACCTCTCCCGCCTTCGCAGGCCGCCTCCACGCGCCCGCCCGCCCAGCCCTCTGCACTGAATCCCTCAGGGTCTGCTCAGGAAGGCCCGGCCGTGCTTCTTCCCCCCCGTGCGCCCGCTCGGGCTCCAGCGGTGCTGGGGGCGCTTGCTGGGCGGAGGCACTGAGTGGAGAAACACCTAACAGGTGTGACTGCGAGCTGATGGGCATTCCCTGCGTCGTGGCAATCAGGGCCAGGGCCTGGCTGGCGGAGACGAATGGCTGAGTGCCACGGGCCGGAGGCTGGGCTCCAGACCAAAATATGGTGCTGTATACTTAATGTTCTTATTCAAAGCCAACTATGTCCCAGTCATAGAGAAAAAACGAGACTCCTTGCCTTCCCGCCCCTGCGTTACCCTCCATCTAAATTGCTGCCGCGGGGCCTGATCCACTTTTCCAATCTCTTTCTTGGCCCGTCTTCTTTCCTGGGTTTACTCAGGGCCAAGGACAGAGATTCGACGTCCCCCAGAATTTATAAAATGATTTCAGGCCAATTGGGTTGGGTTGGGGTGTGAAGAAGAGGAAATGCTTTGTTCTGGCTACTGTGAGGTCTCAGGTGGGTAATGGTACCTTGTCCTGGCGCACCTCGGTGATGGGTTCTTCTTTTGGCAGAACTAGGTCATCCCAGAAATGGAGAGTGACATAGAAGGCCAGGATTTTTCTTTTTCTGTCCCTTCTCTCCTTCCCTTCCCCTTTCCCCTTTCTCCCCTCCCTCACTCCCTACTTTCTTCCTTCCTTCTTCCTTCCTTTCCTTCCTTGGTTGAGAGGATGGAAGGGATTCAGAATATTGGTGTGTTGGTTTCACCATTCTTTCCAATTTTGAATCAGTCTTGGAATTGGAAAGAGCCTCGGGGGTGAATTATTACCGATTACCTCCCTCTTTCTCCTCCTTCCCTCAAATTAATGTGCAGATAGGTAACAGTTCTCTGTTAGAGTTTAGATCCTCCCTTTGTGAAAGGCTTTCTGGGGATTTTTTTTTTTCCTTCTGGCGAATAGACATAATAAGGCCGATCCTCTATTTCTAAGGCAACCTCCTCCTCACGCTGTCTCCTTGCTTATTTCAACCCCTCACGTTCCAATCTGTGGTAGCTAAGTTGACTGAATTAGAAGAGAAATTTTCATGTCAGGGACAGGAATGTCAGGAAGTGGTTTCATCAAACCTGTGCAAAACAGGTTTGACCTGGTTGCCCAAGTGCCTGAGCGAATACAGTGAAGAGAAATAATGTAAACATTTTTGTGAGCACCTTGCCATGTATAAGATGCTATGCCCACACTGGGAAAATGAAGGGTTATAAGGTATTCTCTTTAAGAGGTGTGTAATCTAGTTAAAATGATCATCTATTATACCTGTATAAAGCCTACTTATGATTATTATGAATAGTAAGTAATTATGATCATCCAGTAGTACATACTAAATGTTTGTACTGCTAGATGAATGTTTGAGTTTTTATTTCATTAAATAAACTCAATCCTGGGCCCAATTTATCACATATTAAAAACAAATGCACTCTTGCTCCATAATTGCTGTTTAGACAAGGGAAAGCACTTCATCCTAATAGCATAAATGTAGCCATTCAAACATGTGTGTGCTAACTTGCTATATTAAATTTGAATTGTTTTCAAATAGTAAATTAAACTTCAAGGGCCCAAATCTTCCATTTATTCTAACTTTTCTTAAGGATGCAAGGAAAACATTGAAAGGTCTGATTTTGTAGTCCAGCCTAGAATTCATCCCAAGGAGTGTAGGAAAATCTTTTGGTTTTAAAAAAATAGAGCTATATTTTTAATTTCAGCATTTGAAAATGTATTTGGTATACCTTATATATTTTATAAATTACACAGTATAATAGAACATGTATAAAATTTATATGTGTATATGTATATGAATGAAACTTTTAAACTCCCTTCATCATTTCATTCCTTTGAGGAAAATGGGTTTTGGTTTCTATGACCTGCCTTAGGGAAGAGGGATTCTAGTTTCTTTGGCTAGCCTCAGTCTGAGAGACTGCAGGTAGAAGAATGTCAGAGAAAATCTATTGATTCTCAGGCTGCTTACAAGGCCTTCATTGTGGGGTCTTGTTTTCTGAATCCCAGCATTGCATTAGGTTGCAAAGGTACATCTGTAAACCCAGCAACTTTGGGAGTTGATGGATATAATAATGAAGGGAGTTTAAAAGTAAGAAACAGGAAACCACAGTGAAACAGCGTCACTGAGATTCCTTAGGTCTGGGGCAGTCATTCAAAGAATACTTTGGGGCATTTTTCATCTGTGTCAAACACAGGCATCTTTGACCTCAGGGGTCAAGAAACTGTTTGGGAAACTGTCTTTGTAATGGTGTAATAGTTCATGTGGCACAAACACTGACTGGTCAAGTTGGCTATAAACTGGTACAACCCCTGGAACCCGGGTCATCAGTGTGACTAAGGAGAAATTTGAAAATTAGTGCAAGGGTCCTTTGGAGGATCGTGGTCATTAATTTAATTCAATTAATGAATTGTTGCCTAGAGGCCATAGGTCCCAGGTTGCCTTTTAGATGTATGGCAAGCCTGAGACCTTTCATTGCACACAGAAAAACAGACAGCAAGTACATGGAGAACATAACATTAAGGAAAAAGCTAAAGGGAAGTTCAACTGGGTAATATGAATGTAATGATAGAGAAAACAGCAGTTATATTAGCAGTAGTAGATATACACACCTACAAACCTTTCTTTTCTTTTTCTTTCTTTCTTTCTTTCTTTTTTTTTTTTTTTTGAGACAGAGTCTCCCTCTGCCTCCCAGGCTGGAGTGCAGTAGCGCCATGTTGGCTCACTACAGCCTTGACCTCCCAAACTCAATTGATCCTTCTACCTCGCCCCGCAAGTAGCTGGGACTACAGGCATGTGCCACATACCTGGCTACTTTTTTGTTTTTTGTTGAGACAGGGTCTCCCTATGTTGCCCAGGCTAGTCTAGAAATCCTGGACTCAAGTGATCCTCCCACTTTGGCATCCCAAAATACCTGGATTACAGACATAAGCCACTGTGCCCAGCCTAAACCTTTCTTATTAAGAATAAAATTATACACATATGCTTATCTCTTATATACTGTAATTATCAAACTAAGAAGGAAGACATCTATCCAAGAAGGCTTTCAGTCCTTTAATGTTTGCTACCTAAAAATATCACCTAAATAACTCGTTGATAGGGCAAAGCTAAGCTGTGGCTTACCATGGTAAGGGAGCTCTCTACTTTGACAAACTTTTAATAACACCTTGGAGAGGGAGGGTGAAGTTGGGGCTATTTATGAGGGTTTTAGTGCCTGGTTTAAGATGAACTTTTCAATATGAGGGATTGATGAGAGTTGGGTAATGATTATGATGTATTGGTTTATAATTGGTGGATGCAGCAAGGACAGGGTTTTGAGGTGAGTGCTTCAAAAAGAGTGTTGAGAAAAAGTGGTAAACTTTTATCTCTCTTGGCCAAGGCTTCTTGCAATACTAGTACAGTTGTACTATTACAAGGATAATACTTCATGTACTATTACATGAAGCCCTGCCCCAGGGAAATAATGACATTGTAATACTAAAGCCATGTTGAAGAAGATGGTCAGATTCTAAAGCAACATTCATGTAGACAATAAGCCGTGTGGCTGTAGGTGTTTGCACAATCTAATGTCGACACAAGTTTGAAACTCAGGAGAATAATTTGAGTAAGGACAGGTAAAGATAATAAAGAAGTAGGACTGGCACTTTGAGTTTACCTAAAATAATGCTCATCCCAGTATGTGTGGTAGAGGGGGCGTGAAGGGAGAGAGGTTTATTGACTGCAATAAAACCATACCTGCATACTAAAGATATAAATCGTTTGCATGCCTATGCTTATAGTTTCATTTATTTTTCTGACATCTTCTTTTTAAATTTCATTTGTTGTATGCTAAAGTTTCAAATTAAAGAACTCCTATATGTTGTTTAAACATCAGTGAGGGCGAATAGGCTGTCAGGAGGAGACTACTAGTGCTAGTGGCAAAATGCAGGAAGATCATATAGGGGCATGTGACCTTTCTGGATACAACACTGTTAGGGGATCATCTTGGAAATCTGCCCCATTGTTCCTGTTGTATATCTTTACAAAGCTCTTCTTTATACTATACTCCTTTTATTCCTTCTGATAATTTAGTTAATGGGAGGCATGTTGACATCAGGAGTTTTCTTCCTTTTCCTTTTGTAGCTCTTCCTCATGGCTTTTTGTGCTCTTTTACATTATTAATTTTTAACTTTGGGCCTTCTCTTCTGTTTCTCTTCTGGCCCTGAAATTTCTTGGAGCGCCTACTTTTCATTAGGAATCATTACTTCCACTGAGGATTATTTCTGAGATTTCATGGAGAGGGGCTTTTAGGGAACAGATATTGAATGTATTATTTTAATTCATAGAGATGAAGAAAATAAAAGGTAATGAGTTGCTTTGGAAGAATTTGCTTAAAAAGTAAAATTTCACCTTGAGCAAGATTCAGATCAGGAGCACTCCCTTTGTATAATTTCTGCCTGCCTGCCAGTGCCTTATC